ACGTAAAATTTAAGATATTTTTCGACCCCAAAAGTGGATTTTAAAACCCCAATAGTAGAAAAAGCACAGGACCAATATTAGACCCAATAATTTAATAAATTATTTCTTATTCAACAGAGCTACCTATTGGAGAAAGTCCAAAACTATATATTAGGTCAATTAAGTGATTTTTATTTTCACTTACCTACATATAAAATATATGGTAAAGGAAAGTATTGCGATCGTGAAAATTTTCGAATCTTAGTTTTCAACGGAAATACATATTTTGAGGTCTCTCGAGTCCAAATAACCAAGCAAAATGGTCTCTGTGCGTGTGTGCCTGTTAACAGTCTAGCTCAACACTAAACTGATATTACGTATTTTAGGTTTATATATGGTTCAGATATGACAGCAACTTTTTCGTTAAAATAGGCTAACCGGAACTTCATATCAATGGTAAAAACACATTTTTACAATTTTCTCAAAAACGGCACTAACGATTTTGATAAAACTCGGTGTATCATTGTATAATTAAGTGATCTTTAATATTATTTAAGTCTTATCCCCATTAATGTCGCTTTACAGGGCTTAAATGCCCAATGTTCTTGTACGTCTTCCTCTAAAGTGCTTTTAATATGGTTTATTTAAAAAAGTGAACTCTCTTTTATTGACATTAACTATATAAAATGGCTAAATATGAAGTTTGAAAGATATGATAATTTGAAACTGAAGGAAAAAAAAAATGCTTATCCAGGTTGAAAATGAATCTGCAGAAATAACAGTCTGAAGGTATACGTATAATATATCGTTAGAAAGCTGAGAATTTAAGAAAAAAATAATATCAAATAAATGAAGTTGTAGAAAGCAATGAAGAGTGCTGAAAAAAATATAAATTATAATTTCAGAAAACTAATATTTTTAACGTAAATCACACGTTTCCAAGGAAATTAAATGAAATTTTCTTACTAAATGTAAACTTTTAATTCTTTTCAAAGTTTGAGAAGAAAAATATTTAAAATCAAGCAATTCAAGCCAATGTTTAAAATATTATTCATTGTACTTGTGTGAAAGAAGAAGTGAAATATAAAAATATTTCATGGATATGTTTATAACCTTACATACATTTACTGTAGTTTAATAACTCTAGATATTATATTATATTTAAATAATTAGTTATCTGTTGGCCATTTATTTCAAAAAATCAAGTAACCTTTTAGAAAATTAACATAGTGAATAATTTGATGAATTTCCCCTTTGTGAAATCCCAGCATTATCCACTTACAATCAGTGTGACAACTTTTGAACTATCCATGGCAGGCACTGAAAATTAACTTATTTCATTTTAGTAAACTTTACAATGGAAAATAACAGTTTGATAACTTATAGTTCTACAATCTTTAATCATTTATAGGCATCCATAATCATACACGAGCCTTTCGGTTGACAGAATGACTAACTCCAATTTTAACATCCTTTATTATTAATTTTAATGAAGTTTCTAGTGGCAAAATGTATACCTTTATTCACAGTTCTATATCTCAACAGTACAATAACCTACTCTGGAATTAACTTACTCACTTTCTGTACAGATATAACTATTCCAACTAGAAATATAACTAAAATGACATTACTTAAAAATGTTAAAATTAGAGTTATTCATTCTGTCAACTGAAAGGCTCAGAGACTGAAGTTGTGTGCTTTATAAAAGCAGATGGGGTAACTAGATTTGTATTGCATACCTCTATAATAGATAGAGTATTTGTAATTTAAATGGTCTTAATTATTTATTATCTGTAAGCTTTGAGCTTTAGCTCCGTTTAAAGTACACTTCAAAAATTTAATAACAGCCCAACATTGCCAGAAAATAAATAAGTAGAGCGCTAAGTGAAAGTTGAGTGTTGCGCGCACCAGATTTTTATTTTAGCTGTAGAGTACTTACTCATTTAAAAGTGTAAGATGGAGAAAATGTATTTATAGCCGAATAATTGTCGCTCATCATTAGTAAAGTTACTCATAACATGATGTAAATGCACTAGTTGCTAGTATTGCCCGAAATAGGTCTTGCAAAACGAAGACTGCCTAATTTTGAATTTTGCTAGTATATACCTATCATTACAGGCCTACTGGAAAAAGTCCCAAAACAAGGTATCTGACATTCATTAAATTTTTAACTCCATTAATAAAATAAGTTAAAAACTAATAAAACATAATCTAAAAACATTCTAAGAAAAAATAAAACAAAATTTTTGGATAAATAAATTATTTAAAGAAGAGGAAAAGACAAACTGATAGACACTATTAGTCTAGTAAAATTAGGGATTGACTGCAACATAAAAAAAATATTCAAGAAATTGTTCATTACCCTCCTCATAATAACTGATAAAATGTCCTCATAATCTTTAAAATGATTATCTTTTTGCTCAATTAGAGATGAATCTCAACTTACTCTGTCACCATCCTCAGCTTAATTATTATAGATTTAAAGCTCATTAATTAAAAAGGATGTTTTTATAGCAAGAATCTATCCCCTCCCTCCTTCTCCCAAGATATTTTATTTTCTCACCGTTTCTTGAAAACAGAGCAAAATTAGAAAAATCATAGATCATATACAATTACATTGCTGCAGTCTGTTCCATGTTTTCCTTTTTCCGAAAAGTCGCAACACCATCCAAATTTGTACCAAAATTTTGAAGAAAACCCCTTCTGGGCACCCCTGATTGTAACCTAAATTAAACATGTTTTTAATTATTGATTTTTATTCAATATAGAACGTGGTTAACTTTAAAATTATAAAATTTCAGTTACGAAATCAGACCACGGTTTGTAGTAATAGGTAGTCGTAAAATTGTTTATAGTAACAATCAATGCCAGTCTTAACTTCATATCAATGACACAGAATTCCCTCATCTATAGATATCAAATACAATGCTGTTGTCAATGATGTTTTAGAATCATCAAAACAAATAAACTTTGAATAATAATTTAAATGATCGAAAATGATAAAAAAAATTAAACTTCAAAATGGTATCATCTACTATAAAAAAAAATCAATTTCATGGTTTGGGGTCATTTTTACTTAAAGTTGAATTACAATAAATATATTTTTATAAATATTTCCGTAACCATTAATTTGATAAAAAAAAAAAAAATGAATATGATCATTTTTATAGAGATTTTAAAGTGATTTAATATTGAGCAATCTTTGTGAAAAACCTTATAGTTTTTGGGATATTGTCCAAGTAGTTTTTTTTTTATTGAATATTGATACATTCTGCCACATTAAAAGGCATTAATATTAAGGCTACATTAATCATTCGCACAATATGTACAAACAAATAATAGCTAAGATAGATAATAAAGAAAAAGAAATATAGAAAAATAAAATGAGTGAATTAATATGCCTGTGTACAAAAAATGAAATACTAGATAAAAGCTAAATGAAAATTGTCCAAAAACTAAAAAAAAATGTCAGTTTTCTGTTCTTCTCCCCCTCCCCTCATGAAAATCCGACGTGTGATCCTTTGGGACTTTTTACCAGTTATTATGGAGGAGATTAATAAACAATGTACGACAAGTTCCATCTTAACTTTCCTGGGCCGATAGAGGCCTTCCTTATTATTCCTTCTTATTATTTTTTTTTTTTAAATCTTATTATTTATTTTTTTCGAGGAGGATGTCAAGTTTTAGTAGACTGTTTTAGTAGTTTAAAACAACTCCAAGTTTAAAAATGAGGGAGATTAGGTTTCCACAACGAAAATGAGATTTTGTTAGGGAAAAGCTTGACAGTAAGATCTGGGATCACGCTCCAACAGAAATACGTTTGGGAACTTCTGACAAGTTCTCGAGACAATGTACCAAATACTACAGTACCAAATTTTACCTTCGCAATAGAGCTGTTTCTCTGAAGTATATCTAATGCTTAATCTTCTGTCGTGTATTAATCATACTTAAAACACAAGTCTTGTTATAAATCCATTATTTACAAAATATAAAAAAAGGAGCACTCAAAACACATCAAGTAGCAATGGAATAACCCCATTCTTTGGCTAGTGTATACACTTATACACTAAAATAATATTAACTACAACATTAAAATATAATTTAAAAAAATATCAAGTGAAGTTTTGATAATATATAATAATAATAATAAAACTTTATTCTGTTTTGGTGATATTTTTTATTTTAGTTACATGCATTATTTAAAAAATATACTAATTTATCAACAGTAAATAATAAATTTTTGAACCAATTTTTCATCTCAGATAGATAACGCGTAACAATTCTTTTATCAATATTTAAAAACTTTTCTTTAGTTATATAAACATAGTTTCGGCCATTTATTTTATATGTATATGTAGATGATCATTTTGGATCTGCATTATTTTCAAATTTTTTACTAAATACAACATTTCCTATACATCTCTCATCACCAACTTTATTGAAAATGGAGGAAAGCAGTAATTTCGCTGAACTCTGGTGGCTTAACTTTTAACATTAAAAAAAAAAATATATTATTAACATAAAAAGAACATTATTAACATGTATACAAAATATATTCTGTTTGTTTTATAAAATAAATTTATATTTATATTAAATTAAATATTGATTCAAATAAAATAAAATATTGATAAACGAATTTTAAAGCGTTATGTATTTGGGATTAAAAATGAGTTAATTATTGTTAATTAAGTATTGATAAATTATCATTTTTGCATCCCATCTTTTATAAGATAATATGTATGTATATATATATATATATATATATATATATATATATATATATATATATATATTATATATATATTTATATTGTGTATAAAAAAAAAGAGTTACCAATTTATAGGTGGACAAAATAAAAAAGAGAACAGATAAATATATATTATTTTTCACAATAGTATACATTATTATTTCCTTATAGTTCAGAATTTAGTAATATTATTACTATAAATAAAAAAATATGTATATAACTTTTTGAAAATATGAAATCAGCTTTTTTTAACATTGTCACTTTTTTTTTTCAGAATTGATGCGTGCGCTGCAGGAGAGCTTAGATAGCGATACATTAATTATAACTATGAAACAAATAAAGCAGAGAAAAAACGTCCATCAAGAGGTTGAAACGTTAGCGGCCTTACAAGGGAAAAATTCTGAACTATTATTTGGAATAAAACTTGATCGTGCGAATAAAAGAAGTGAGTGCAGATTACGTCAAGCTTTATTTATTTTATCTGCGATAAATGTATTATTTAATTATTATTTATTTTTATGTGGCTAGCTAGCGATGTTATAAAAACAAACATAGTATTCACCCTCTTTAAAAATGTTTAAAATCATTGGACTGTTATGACATAGTAAAATATGGTGAAAAAAAATTGAGAACGAAAAAAAAGACAGATAATAATTATAAATTGAGAGAATTAAAAATATTAATTGGTTTTAATTCTAAATCGAAAGATTACAATGTTTAAAAATAAAAAAAAATATAATGGTTTATACACAAAGAAATAATACGTAGCGTTTACTCAGAAACAAAATTAATAATAATAATAAAAAACAAAACAAAGAAAGCTTTAAAAATTAGTTATTTCAGAAACAAATAAAATGTTCGTTGTATGACATTTATTTCTACAAATTTTATAAAAATCCACATTAATAACTATAAAAAAAAGGTCTGATTGGTGTCTCTAAAAAAAATTAAAATATACGATTGTCTATGAAATGTATAGTTAAACGTCTAGACTCGATGTTTGTAATGGTGATGTCCCATTATAGAATGAATGAGCTCTTAATAAATAAAGGTTTATACCAATTTATAGATTTTTTTTGGTTGGCTCTACAGACCTTGTAGATCTTTGGCCGCCTGAGTCAGCCTTCTCCACCTCTGCCTATCTTGGGCTACTGATTTCCACTTTGCGGCATGAAGCTCAGCCGTGTCTTTGTTTATCCTATCTATCCATCTGGTTATTGGCCTCCCACGTTCCTACTACTCTGGCATTCATTGTTGTGTAAAAGCATCCTGATGGATTGCTTCGAGCTACATATCCCGCCCATCTTAACCTCTTTGCTTTCATATCATGAGATATTGGCTGACCATTTTCTTTTAGTACTTCTTTATTGGCCCTTCTCTGCATGTCAAGGTTCTGATCCCAGATAGTTCCTGTTTGTACGGAGAACTTTCCTTTCGAATCTCTCAATTCTGGGTTCTAATGTGCTGGTTAGAGCCCTGGTTTCACAGCCTTACAGTAGAACTGGCTTTATCACAGCGTTTGATAACGGATTTGGCTGGATTTTAGTATCACTGAAAGGGAGAAGAAAGCTCTGTTTGCACTTGTTATTCGCAAGTCTACCTCTATTAGTTGATCATTTATTGGGAGTCCACGCAGATCATGTTATCAGGGTGGATGTTTCGGCTAACTATCATATCTTTTGTTTTATCTACATTGACTTGTAGGCCATTCTGCTCTGCCTCTCTTGTCGGTTTTGTAGCGAGTTTTTCAATGTCTTCTTTATTGCTTCCGAGGACAACTATATCATCGGAATATGCTAGGATTTTATGTTTCATTCCAACGTGCACCCCTCCATCTTCGCGTGATGTTCTTATTACTGTCTCTAGGGCTAAGTTCAACAGCATCGGCGAGAGTCCATCTCCCTGCGTCAAACCCGTTCAAACTTCAAAGGCTTCAGATACTTCTCCTTGTATTAGTACCCTTCATTTAGGACCATTTGTACACGCCTTTGTCAACCTCACTAATTTCCCGGGAAGGAACACCCAGCTCAGTCATGATCGTCCAGAGACAGTTTTTGTCCACGGAGTCATAGGCTGCTTTGAAGTCGACATATAAGTTAAAAAAACATATCCAGTTAAAAAAATGTCAGTTTTCTGTCCTTCTTCCCCTTCCCTCATGAAAAACCAAAGCAGAATTCTTAGGGAATTTTTATCGGTTATTATGGGGAGAGTATTTAAGATGGGGAGATAATTTAAGTTATATATGATAAAATAAGTACGAGTTCGCGTCCCGGTAACGGACGTGAAAACTAATTGTAAATGTGGTGTGTGTCTATCAAAAAAAGGCAAAGATGAATGGAAAGCCGGAAAATTTAAAAAGTTATGTTCTAAGAAGTCAACTGAACCTACGATTGTTATTTAGAATTCCTTCTTCTATGTTGCATTTTGGTTTTTTGATTTATTTTTTTTAATCTATTTAAAATAATCAAAATATGCAATCATGTGGATATATCGTCAAATTTGCAAAATAAAAAATTGGCTAATTGCATTTTAGTATACTAATCCGTAAAGATATTCGATCTAATATTTTAAAAATATGGAATTGCATAAAAATAAGGGTTCTGGTCATGACTCATACCTTTTTTACATTGTTTGTTATTTTTCTTCACATTTGTTTAAGATAAGTAATGTAATTATTATTATATATTTCCTTTTTATTTTTAATAAAGAAACTTCATTATTGAAATTTAGCTTTTTATTTAATTTTAAAATAACAGTACTTAGGTTATAGTTTAGAAGCCCCTGTAGCTGACAGTGTACCAAATTCCTGACATACTCCTAGAAATATGGAAATAATACAATTTTAGGAGCTCCTAGACCTCTATTTCATATATTTTTAGTTTCTTCATTTTCTTCTTGTATATTTGTTTGCTTAGTCATAGTCTTGTCGAAAATCGCAACCGAAATAATGAGTGGCAAATTAGGAAGGCCCCTCACAGTCTACTTAATGTCTCAGGAATAACTATCTGCCTGTAAGAGCACCATAAAAGGTTTGCCTTTTTTGCTTTAACTACTGTGATTTATCCCAAAAGTTTTGTTATATTTTATCTGTTTATAACTTATCTTGAAGAAGCAATTGGATATTTAATGGGTGTTAGCTACTGGAGCCTTATAATGGGAACTTTTGCCAGTAGTTGACAGGCCTGTGCTCTTATAAATTCAAATAGATATACTGAATATAACGGTTCTTAAAAATGGGACCATTCATTGCTGTCTCGTTGAAGAAAATTGCTAATGATTCTGATTAAATATGAAGCAAAAATTGGTTTTCCTATTGCCAAAAACAGGCTCTTGACAGTGACCAGCATTTATTGATAAATTTAAGTTGAGAAACGCAAGAAGTTGTTATTTTTGTTTTTGGTTCCTCCCCTTCCTCGCCGTTAAGGCTATACGGGTTTTCTCGGGCCAGGGAGTGTGGGCGGGGATTTAAAAGACGCCTTGGCACAGGGACGCGAACTCGTGACTATTTTTATAACACATTTGTCATATATCAGGCTGCCTGGCAACGGTGGTGCTGTGCACAACGCGTTAGCCCATTCGGCCACCCCGCCCACCAAACGCAAGAAGTTAGTTTTATAGTAAGTTCAAGGTAATTTTTGTTAACTTAAAATGAAAAATATGAAATTTCGCTTAATTACATCCTTGCTCTTATCCCTGTCAGCTATAGGAACATTCTAAATAATGTCAGTTACTGGTAAAACAAAACAATTCTCTTAATTTTAATTTTTTTTTTTAATTCAGATTAATGTTTGATGGATTTGAAATATGTCTTGGTAAGGCGAGAAATAGTTCTATAAGATGAATCCATGAAAAATATAATAGCATGAGTATTTAAGTTTTTACACGTAAAAGTTTAAAGAAATTGCATTTACCCTAGTAGGTTATGAAATATGATCGACGGACTAAGTCATAAGATTATTTTTTACCATCTTTGATTATTTTTACAGTTTTAATTGAGACTTCGAAAGAAAGGAAGCACCTCAAGTTATCGATGCTTTCTGACAACAAACCCATCAACAGTCTTGTGATATCGATTGATCAGAGCAAAGGAACGGCTGATATATCGCTGTACATCGACTGCAATTTCGAAGGAAAGATCAAGCTATCTGAGAGCTTAAACCAAATCATCAGCACCAATCCCATGGTCAAAATCGTACGTATCACATTCAGTAACAGTACATCTGTTGAGTTTTTGTTAGAATCTGAATAAGATCCTGATTCTATTTTCTGTTTGTGTGTTTTTTTTATTAGTATCGAGAAAGGCGATATATTACAGACCTGGATAGTGACACTGAAGTTCAAGAAGTCCTCAAACGTCTGAAATGTTACGCCGATGACCAAATGTTATCAACGCAGCCACAACCAGCGAACGAAACCCCCCAAGAAGAAATAGTCATACATACCAGAGGTAAGTTTTAAGTTATTTTGCTCCACTTAATGTGTCCTTACAAGTAATGTTAAGTGTCCGGTTTGTTTATTGTCAAATTTCTTTTTTCTTTTTTTTTCCCAACATCCTTGCAATATCATAATATACAATATTATAGTATTTTTTTTTTCAATTACACAATTTAAATTTATTTTAGTCGGGATTTATATTGAAAAAAAGTTTTAATGTGATTTCAACTTTGCTGAAGTACTTAGGTTCTTTTTCATTTCCATGCTTCATGAATTTCATGCTTGTATTTATTCATTGTATTTTCAATTTGAACCTCGCGCGGCCTCATAAAATTGTTAGCTTTTTGAGAACACATTAAGGGGAGCGAAATATTCCCAATTTCTGGTACAAAATTACCAACAGTTAAAGTTTTAGAATTTACAACTAAGGGGGAGATTAATGATTAAAACTGATATTTACTTCTTAATCACAGATAATGAATGGGCTTGTACAATTGTCGGACTCTGTACCAAATGAATTTCTAAAAGGTTGATATTTGCTGTGCCGACTGGTAAACGTCCGAGAGGTGGACCGAAGTAAATAAATAAAATATTGTAAATAAAATATTTGTAGGTTATGATGAGATGAAGCAACACCAGGGTGTAAATCTCTATTTTGTCTTAGGAGAATAGGAGGTTACAGGAGCTCGAGACATATGTAATTTAATGAATAGTTGTATATAATTTGTATATCACTAATTATAACAATATTGGGTTTGAAAATAAGTCCTTTCGGTTTTGCTATTTATTTTTATGTCACTATGATACACTTCTAATCGTATAACCTAAGGCGGATTGGATTGTTTATCCTGTTATAATAAGTCAATAACTATATCTGTTAACTCTTGTTGAAACTAGCTTAGTATTGTGTTTGATATTGCACTGTGAATATGGAAGAGAATATCATTCATTATCGCCATATTTTGTTGTATTATTTTAAAAAAGGCAAGAGTGCGGCAGAAGTTCATAGAAACATTTGCAGTGCTTGTGGGGGTAATGCCTTAACCCAACGCACCTGTCAAAATCGGTTTGCCAAATTTCTTCCAGGAAATTTTGACATAAATGATGCTCAAAGGTCTCGTCGCCCACATGAAATTGAAACGAGCAATGTTAAGGCCATTGTTGATCAAAATCCCACCCAATCAGTGCAAGAGATTGCTATGGCCCTAAATGTGTCGCACACAAGCGTATAAAACCATTTGCACAAGTACGGCTATGTTTCCAGGTGTAATGTTTGGGTACCTCGCATGATTTTTTTTCGAAAATCACAAAGAATGTTATAACTTAAATACGACTTTAGCTAACTACAAGAAATTTAACAGGAATTTAGGGCCACATAAACTACACAAAATGACATCAACAGGACCTTCGTAAAGAAACTACAAACGGAGATAAAAAATAAAAATATATAAGGAGTTTTTGTTTATTTATTGCTTATGTAGGCATTAAATAAAAAAAAAAATCCTGAAGAGTTATGAATGATTGGAAGGGTGGTGTGTTCCAACAAGACAACGCTAGGCCCCACACCTCATTAGTCACTCGCCATAAATTATTGAACCATGGATAAGACCTTTTGCCCCGCTCACTTCCCTATTCTCCATACCTAGCTCCAAGTGACCACTACTTATTCCGGTCTCTGCAGAACTCCATGAATGAAAAGAAATTCCAAAAGGAAAGAGGACATCAAAAACCACTTGGGTCTGTTTTTTAACAATAAACTCCCAGACATTCCATGAACACGGCATTATGCAGTTAGTGGTAAGATGGAAAAAGTCATAATAAATAATGGTCAATATATTGTAGTTTAAAGTAGATTTTATGTCTATTATATATTGAGTTTTATTTCACTCTGAAAAACCGAAAAAAACTTATTTGCTAACCCAATAGACAATGATAATACTGAATGAAAAATATTTGGATAATTTATATGTTTAACTAAAACTTTGTCTTTCTTTTGCAGGTGACATCCCCATTATATCTGACTGTGATGGTAAGTCAAAGATTTATTTTATATTTTAATATAATTATAAGTGCATAAATAAGAAAATATTTTGTGTATCAGGTAAACAGTTATGAAATCATTTTCATTTTATGTAAATTGTAATCAATTTTATATAAACCTGTACTTGTACAGTCCAAGGAGGATCTTGTGTTCGGTACTTTGCTTTTGAGTACTGCTTCTAGGCCCATGGTTGTACAAGGATGTAGTTTGTCCAATATCATGCTCAAGGTTTTTTAATTGTTATTGAAATTGTTTGTTAAAAAACAAGGTTGAAAGCAATTGTTGGTGTGTATAAATTAAATGTTGAACCAACTGTTATCAATCTGATTTCATAGAATATTTATATTTAATTATTTTAAAGATTATTTCAACAGAACATGTAAATATAAAAGCGATTTTTTTTTCTTCAGATTTTTCAAAAGCTATCTTTGATAAATTCAATATATTTATTTCAGTTTCTTATCATGGAGTTATGTATAAAATTAACAACTAATATATAAAATTAAGTGTTATTTTCAAGAATTCAGTTTATGATTCTGATTCTATTTGTTTCAGATAACATGTTAATAAAAACTATTAATAGGCTAATTACTGTTGTTAAACGTCTTGAAGATGAATTGAAAGCACAAGTAAGTTCGATTTTGATTTTTTTTTTTTTTTAGATTAACTTGAATTTTTACGATTATTTTTTTTTTGTTGGCATTACATACCTTGTAGATCTTTTTGCCATCTCTGCCTATCTTCGGATGTTTCTTTGCAGTTATCTGCATGCAACTCTATTGCATCTTTGTTGATTTGATCTATCAAACTGTTTTTTGGTCTTCCACGTGATCTTTTGCCTGCTATTGAAGCATTCATTGTCGTGTAGAGGCTTCCAGACGGATTGCTCCGAGGTACATACCAAGCCCATTTTAACCTCTCTGCCTTCATAGCATGAGATATTGATTGGCCAGTTTCTATAAGCAGCTCTCTATTGGTCTTTCTTCTCCATATGGTAGCACTCTGATATCAGATCGCTGTGGTTATCGTTCGGAGGAGTTTTCTCTTGAATCTTTCGATAATGTCTGGTTAGTGTCCAGATCTCACAGTCATTTATTAAAAATGGCGTTATCATATCATTGTAAACGCTAAATTAAAGATTTCTTGAGATTGTTTGGGGTTTCAATACCTTTGAAAGGTAGAAGAATGCCTCTGTTTGCGCTTCTACGCAGGACTATTTCCGAATTAGTCATTCATTGATTATGGAGAAGAGGTATTTGAATTTTACAACTCTCAGGAACGAATTTCCATCCGCGCAGATCTTTTCAGATTTTTAATATTATAAAAAAACATTTTCAACCTGGCATCATTAAGTATTGGCAATACATGATTTCAGAAAACTGCCATTATGTGCAATATATATTTCAACATTCATTCAAAATTATCTCTTTGATCTTGTAAAATATTTTCGTTACATATTTGGGTCGTTACAAAACTTCGGTCACATTTGGTCACAGATTTTTTCAAAAGTAAAAAGAAAGAAAGATTTTCGACTTCTTTACGATCTTTATGATTGTTTTAGGAATTTAATAATGTGAGTATAAATAATCATCAACATTGATACGCAATTTTGAAAAAAAAAATATTTTTTTTATCTTTGAGAATGGATTCTATGAACGTGAACATTTCAAATTATATTGTACGAAGCGGAACAATTGTATTTTAAACATTATCTTTCATAGTTACCGAATACTGACATTTAATGAGAGCAATTATATTTATATTATTTGGTAGTTGTAAATATATAGTTACTGTCTTGTACGTTACTGACTTGTAAAGTACTAAGAAAAAATTGTTTTGTAACGAGTTTTGGCCTTGAATTTTTTTTGCTTACCTGATTCTTTTTCTTTTCCAGCAAATTGAAACCAGAAACCTGAGGCAATTACTGGAGCAGTGTGACATGTGCCGTCCAGGTGAGGGGTACTAACGCCAAGGCTGGAGTCCATGGGATTAAGGAGACGCAAATACACTTCCTTATTATATTTCTTTTCTCTAACTCTTGATGTATACTTACTTTCGAAATATAGGATAAATAACAAAATAAAGTCTGTTTGCGTCTTTCTTTATCCCCAAACCTTTCTAGTCTTGGATGTTTTTGTTATAGTTTTATAATGATTTAATTTATATTAAATGTAGAGAAGAATAGTTGGGGTGGTCAGTCAAAAAACAAGGTAAAAATAAATGATAATATTTATTTTTACATATGCCGACATTTCGACCTGAAGTTCAGGCCTTCATCAGGGCTAAGAAAATAACCAGATAACAAGGTATGAGAAACATAAGTAGTGATGGTAAAAAAAAAATAAATAAAAAAAAATTACAAAAAAAAAAATAAAATAAAATAAATAAATAAATAAAAATAAAAAATAAAAATAAAATAAATAAATATAAAGTAAAATGAAATTGTTAGAATAATGACTAAGAACTAAGAGATAAATAATAAACAAAGTGTGGAATGATGAAGTAGGCATAATCAAAAAGGGTGACATAAGTGTTACAATGGGAATCTTAGAATAAAATGTAAAAGATAAAAAAAAAGAAATATGAAGTTATATAAGAAATGAAAATAAATAGTAAAATTAAGACATTTTTTGACTGACCACCCCAACTATTCTTCTCTTCATTATCCACGACAGTCAACCATTTACCAATTATATATTAAATGTAATATTAAATACAACTAAAATAATGAATAGCTAATATCAATATTATTATAAATTAATATTAGAATTAGAGCATAAATAATTGGACATTTGAAAAAAACATACTTAAATAATGTGCAAAATAACAATGATGATCATGGTTATAAAACTCTTCATATCAATGACAAAACACACAAATCAAAAATAAACCTGAAATACTTTTTTTTTTAATTTATTTATTTATATGATATTTACAACTGTATACAAAAAATACATCTGGTAAATTCGCACATGGATATAATGACATGAAAAACGTGTTGAGATACTACCCATTGGTAGCACTCTAATAATATGTCTATATTAGGAGATCACGTGGCCATCTTCTTTTCAGACGCCTCGGAGGGTTATCAGGAATTGAATAGGAAGCAAGGTTAGAAACAAGAGGGTTGGGATGTTTATGAAGTTTATTATGGAAGGACAGATATCTGGATTGGGCCAAATCTGATAAATAAGGAACATTAAGGTCATTATGGATGATTTTATTTGTAACAAAGTAAGGACCATTGAGGATTTTACGAAGGATTTTGGATTGTAGGGATTGGATACGAGAGGAATTTGATGGCTTAGTAGAGCCCCAAAGCTCGATCCCGTAAGTCCAAATAGGCCTTATTATAGTCATGTAAATGAGTCTTTTATAATTAATTGGGAGGTTAGAGCGTTTGTCTAGTAAGTGTTGAAGTAGTCGGAAACGTCGAGCTGTTTCTTGTCGTTTCAGTTTGGTATGAGGATTCCAAGTTAGACGTTTGTCCAGATGGAGTCTTAGGCAACCCTGAAATACTAAAACTCTGGAGGTTCTTGGGTTCAATATTTGTAAAGAAATATTGTTTCTTGTTTAACATTTGTGCAAGAAGGTATTTAAATGAAATCACGTCCAACCACCATGTTTTCCCCCTTAATTAATTTTTAATTATGAGTACATACTTTGGAGGATGGGTTTGCCACAGGAGGAACTCCCGACCTCAGACTGGTGTAACAGAATTAATAATTAGGCCGCAGCCGGACTCGAATCTAGGAACCGGAGAACCTTACTCGCTGGGCTATCCCGCCCTCTATTGTATTAAACAAAATAAGATAGATCCTTTATGTATGGTGAATCGATTCTGAGAATCGATAGTGGATTCAGTATTTAATTTTGAGGAGCATCAGCCCAGCCCGAAAGCTTTTTTTATATCTATAACGATAATTACTTGGGAAGAAAAATAAAACTAACTATCTTTATGAAATGGGGTTTAAGTGATTCTTGATCAATTTCAATTTTAATGGTCATCCTTCCAAATTAATATTTTAAGTAAAATGTACCCTATCATTCCGGAGCCGCCGATTAAGAAATAGCTGTTGAATTAAAAGATATCTGGCCAGTAAGTTGAGGATCGAAACGGGGAATATATTGCGAAAAATGTGAAAAAATATTTCATTGTTTTAAGTTTTACACATGGGTTCAAATATATTTTAAAAAATTGTTATCATGAACCACCTCGGAAGAACTTTTGACAGCCCCTCAGAGAAAAACTTACTCTTTAGAAAATTAAAGAACGTTGAATTTTGTGTTGATGGAATGCCTAAACAAAATCAAACTATGAGTTTTATCAAATTTGTCAAAAAATTAAGACATATTACTATACAGTTTGGAAATGAGTTCTCTAAGAGAAGAAGCGCACAGAATAAAATTTTAGAGTATCAATTCTGCGTCAACCTCTTTCGGGATTCGTCACTTCTTCATAAAATTTGATTTATTTTGATCAGGGATGTAGCAATCAAAATGACGCGAAGGGCTTCCTGAAGTATCTTAATATAATAAATATATATAATTAAATACAATATTTTTAAATCTTACAAAACATATTTTTTTCTATTTTATAACTAAAGTAAGTTCGTAAAACCGTTACACTTACAATTGCATCTTCCTGGCACCTTCTGCGAAGCAAACGTGGTGATGATGTTTACCAAATCAGTTTGATCCGTTTTTTCTCGCTGTACACTGAGCAAAGCTAGCTCATATAACCTTGCTTGGCCCATTGTAGCCCTCAGGCATAAAAGTATCAGTTTTCACATACTGAAAGATCGCCCCCAATTTGCGATAGATACTGCAATTGTGAGCAGAAATTGAACGGAAAAGTGCAGAATTGGAAAATGCGCTTTCATCCCCGGACTGCACAATAAAGTCATGTAGCTCAGGTAAGGCAAGGACCACCAATCAGTTCATAAGAACGTAGGCTTTAATCCATGTTTATGTTGACCAGGAATAGAATAAATCATGTAAGAACAAATACATTTTTACATGTAATGGGTCTAGTTAAGCATGGGTGCCCATCCTCCCCAAGGTCGATGACGCATGAACCTCCCACCCTCCTCCCAAGATATTTCATTACTCTCCTCTTCTTAAAAACAGTGCAAGTGAAAACATAATTTAAAAATTATAGATCCTAAACAATTACACTTAATGTGGTGAGTCCCCCGTTTTCCCCTCGTCCCCTGGTTTGAAACTTTTCATTCCGAAAATTCATAACTCCTTCGAAATGTGCCACCACTCAAAAACTCAAAACCTAGTCAACATATGCCCCCTCAGCAAATTTAATGAGGCATCAAACCCCCTTCTGGGCACTACTGTAGCTAAGAGCGGTTACTGTCCAATATGCCAATGTCTGGACGTTCAAAGACACTTCAAACGTTAAAGATTCGAGAATTTTAGGGTTGCAAGCTGTGGATTATAGTCAGTGGTGGATCCAGACATTTTTTGAGCGGGGGAGGGTGCACTTGAGAAAGACTTGTATTCCATACACCAAAGGTATATATGAATATACGTAAATATATGAAAATAAATGTGTATTTTGTTTCGTCTAGTATTTTGTCATAAAATTGCGGTCTAAATTCCCAACTGGTAATTGACTTCTATGATTCTAAAACAAGATACTTTTGTATAATTTTTTCTACAAATTAATAAAATTCAAATTAATATCAAGGGATTAGAGAACTCAAGCAACTACATTCACCTACAGTCTTCAGATATTTCGCCAATAAATGAACAATAGTCAGTGTATATATTCATGTTTTTATAAATTGTTCGTTGGTTTTGAGTAGGATGTATAAATAAAAATTAATCGTTTAATATAAATTAGTTTCCAATTAAAATAACAACAATGATAGTGCCGGTTGGGGGTAGGGCGCTATCGTCCTCCGGACCCATTCCCTGGATCCGCTAGTGACAATAGCGTTAATTTTTTACGATAAATAAATAAATATAATGCCTATGATTAGAAATTTTTTTAAATGAAATAAATGTACCAATATATAAAAAAACCTTATTCTCATTTAAGTTTTACAAAATCCACAAGTAAGTTACGTGAGTTTTAAACTATTCAGTAATTTAAGTTCAAGTTTAATCCAACTTTAATATGTCTCGCACAGAATATTTGAGTTTCGGATACGATTTCAATTCATTTTTCAGTAATAATTTACGTAATATATTGTCTAAATATGACTTGCTCTGTATGACAAGTCGTAGGGCCAAAAAAAAAAAAAAATAATTCAATTGGCATCAGTTTTATCGAACTTTCAAAGGAATGTCATTGTGTAGGGAATGGCGTGTATATGTATACATATTTTCCTTGGAAGGTTTGCTGGTACTACACTGCCCGGATTCTCACCCATTCGTTGAACATAGCTCACCAGGAACAAGAATGGTGAAGTTATTAGAATGTAGATTGTATTATGGATTTTTAAGTGTAATGCTTAGCGAATTTCGGGTCCCCTTTAAATGGCGTCCAGGGAACATGCCTTACTTACCCCAAACACCTATATAGTTGAAATATTGAATATCATACGTAGCATCATATTTATTTATTTATACATGTTTTGAGCTCTTCAACTACTTGGGTCATTTTCGCCCTATATTACAATTTGATGAATTACTACACACATAACTCAACTATAGCTAAGAAATACAATTTAAAGTTTGAAAAGTTAAGAATAATTACAGATGATTATGATAGTACAATTGAACTAAAATTATAAAAATTGAAACTTAAAGATTTAATATAAGATAAGATAACAGAGACAATAAAAATAAAGATTAATGATATTAAGTATAAAAGCTAAAAAATACACTTTTAAATAATAAAGATTAATATTAATAGAGGCGAAGCTAAAGAATACAGTGTAAACATTAGAAAGTACAAGAACCAATAAAATTAAACATTAAAGATTAGAGAAAG